TTCCCCCTGAATGAATAAACATATCCCCCTAACCAATGTCTTCAATCCCCCTTATCAGAAGCCCTCAGATTCGAGGGTTCAAACCAAACCTACCTTTGTCCCAGAACCTTCTATACCCTCCCTATAAAAGCACCAGTGGAATAAAGGAATGGGCCATTTTGCCGGACATGTAACCGCGTGTACGTGTCTGTTTCCCACGCAAAATGCGCTCTGGGCCGGATGAATGGGCATTTTAAACCCCCCATTCATCATACTGCAACTGAAAAAGAGATACCGGCAGCTTATGAAGGGGTTTGAGCTGCTTTGGAGGTGATTGGTATTGAAGCCCAGCTTCTACTGGCACCTCAGTTACCCGTGTTGGGTTGGATGTTCAAAGGGAGGGTTTCCTCTACACATCATGCAACTGATGCTACATGGAGTAAGTGGCTCACACTGATCACACGATGAGCTCATATAGGAAACCCAGTCATCCAGGAATCTTGGAAGTGATCATGGACTGTCCAGAAGGCAAAGATTTTGGAATGTCACCAGAGGAGGGTTCGTGATCAAGGGGTGGACTTATGGACACTATCGCACAGGTTATCCATGAATGTGAAATGTTGCAATTAAGCAGACTAAGCGGTTGAAGCCTCTGTGCTATGGAGGACAACAGCTGAAATATAAGTATGGGGAGGCCTGGTAGACTGACTCTATCACACTCCCCCAAACCCATGATGGCAAGTGCCATGTGCTTATGATGGTGGAAGCAACCACTGGATGACTGGAAACATACTCTGTGCCACATGCCACAGTCCAGAACACTATCCTGGGTCTTGGAAAGCAAGTCTTATGGCAACACGGTACTCCAGAAAGCACCGAGTCAGACAACGAAACCCATTTCCAAAACAACCTCATAGACACCTGGGCCAATGAACATGGCATTGTGTGGGTGTATCACATTCCCTATCATGCACCAGTCTCCGGGAAAACTGAACAGTGCAATGGATCATTAAAAACTATGCTGAGAGCAATGGGTGGAGGGACCTTCAAACACTGAGATACACATTTGGCAAAGTTCACCTGGTTAGTCAACACCAGAGGATCTGCCAATCGGGCTGGCCCTGCCCAATCAAAACTTTTACATACTGTAGAAGGAGAAAGAGTTCCTGCAGTGCACATTAAAAATATGCTGGGGGAAACAGTCTGGGTTATCCCTGCCTCAGGCACAGGCAAACCCATCTGTGGGATTGCTTTTGCTGAAGGACCTGAGTGCACATGGTGGGTAATGCTAGAGGATGAGGAAGTCTGGTGTGTGTCTCAAGGGGATTTGATTTTGGGTAAGAATAGCCTCTGAATTTAATTGTATGATGTTAATTGCTATATTATACACTGCTATATTATATTGCTATATTATTAACACTGTATATTATCATTTCTATGGTGGTTATACATCCATCATTGCAAGTCTCTGCCACTCCAGATTTTAGGATCTGAACCCAGCTCCACTTCGATTGCCACATTAACAAAGAATGAACTTTGATGAAGCTGGACAAGTGCAGTAGTGATGGAATCAGAACTGGCTTCAGCATGCAGCAATCCAACATGACTCACCATCTTTCCTGCCCTGAAAGACTGTTATGACAAAAGGTCATGGACTCAATGAGCTCAATGGACATTTATAGGTATGGTCCATAGACTAAGGGAATGATATCTGTGTATATCTATCAAAAGACAGGAAAGATGATAGGGTATTGGGAACTGTGTGATCTGGCATGATGTAAATGGTATGGAATAAGGGGTGGATACTGTCCTGGTTTTGGCTATGATAAATTTCTTCTCAGTAGCTGTCACAGTGCGGTGTTTTGGATTCAGTATAAATGCTGATAATACACTGATGTTTTGGTTGTTGCTGAGAAGTGTCTACCCTGAGTCAAGGGCTTTTCAGTGTCTCATGCTCTGCCAGGGAGGAGCTGCACAAGAATCTGGGAGAGAACATGGCCAGCACAGTTGATCCAAACTGGCCAAAGGGATATTCCACACCATAGAACATCACACCTAGTATATAAACTGGGAGTTGGCTGGGAGGTTGCTAGCTGGGGTTAAACCACTACAAAAGGTATATTTTTTATCTTTTCTTAATTAAAAAAATAGGTATGTATCAAAAAGAAGTGTTCAAATTCAACTACTGGGCATTTTGTTGTTTGTTTTTGGGTTTTTTTTAACTACATGAAAATTGATAGCACAATGTTTCTGCAATGTTTCTACTTGGTAATTACCATGTGTTTCTTCAGGCATTTAAAGGAAAAACAAGATGTCATTTTACCTGTCACATCAGTAGACAATGTAGACAAGCAAAGCCTGCAAAAACACTTGCTTCAATAGCCATTGCTATTATATGTAGGAGGCTTTCAACTACTCAAAAGCAATGGAAACATTTCAGTTACCTTGAGTGCTAAAAGGCTCTTGTTAATTTCCGCACCTTCCAGCCGAGTCTGCCTGTCTGCACTGGAAGTATCTGCTCCTCTTTCATTGCCAGCCAAATCAATCAGAGAAAATTTACCATGCAATTTCCCTTTCCTTCTGAGAATAATCTGAAACACTGCATGGCTTCGAGATGAGTGAGCATTTGCAGATGTCTGGCCAGATGTCCTTTAACAAAATGAAAAAAGGAAGGACATATGAACAGGCAAAGGACCATACATGTTAAACACATTACCCTAAGAACATTAGTTTTTTTCAGGGCAGAGTCCTGTTTTTACCCTAATAATTCGATGTGCACAGTATAATTATACCTATTTCTCCAATTCTTCAAACAGAAATGGAAGATTAGTAACATTTTTCTAATCTCTTAAAAGCAAGAATAATCAGATCTCCAAAGATTTCAGACTATCAGAGAGCTTATTTGCAAAATGTCACATGTGGTACTTTTATCTAATCAGGTAGCAGAAGATTGATTTTAAAAATAATAAAGCTGGATCTTAACAGAACCCCAACTTTTATACTTCTGTCACTACATATCAAGGCCTTTTAGAACTGACGAATCTGGCAGTATTAAGTCAACAAACTGGTTATATAATGCATGCAATTCACATTCTGTAGAAAAATCAGTTATTTCTCTCTAGCTGAGAAAATCTAAACTATCTTTATTGAAAAGATAGGCAGATTTCTTACTTGCAGTCAACATCATCAAAATACCACCACATATTAAAAAGCCATCACTATGAAGAGACACCAAAAAAATCTTGTTCCAAATCTTTAATTTACAGTGAAAAATTGACGAAAGCTATGGGAGATACCTGCAGCTGTTGCCTATTTCAATAAGCTTAAGAACATCTTCAACACATTTGACTTCCCGTTCCTGTAATCCCACCACCTGGACTTGCTGTTTACCATCTTCTAATACTCTTAATTTTGTCTTCCTGTTCAACAAGTCAAAAACCTTGGGGAGGAGAGGAACAGAACAGTTATAGAGGAGCTTTAAAAGACATTTTTGCTTCAAATCTCATATCAAAATATGCAAAGCATTCCATGCATAATGCTGCTTTAGCAGGGAGGTTGGACCAGATGACCCACTGTGGTCCCCTCCAGCCTGACCAATTCTGTGACTGAAAGAGAAGTGTAAAGAATTATTTGAAATAAAGCTTTTGGTACAAGAAGGAAAAAAATCTTTTATGTGACAAGCTCACAATCTGTTTTGTGAAAAAGAAATTCCACCTTCCTCAGGAAAAGATCATGTACTTACCTTACCACTATAGATCTCAAAAAATGTTGCATATACTTGAAGTTCTAACTTCTTATAGTTTGGTTTCTTTAGCATTAAAAAGACGTCTCTAGCTGTGAATACATTTACAAAAAAAAAAAAAACCATAGTTATGTATTTTCATTTAGTGAAGACTCATTAATGCATAGCAGTCTATTTTATAGCATCTCATATTTTGCAAGTGTAATAGTCAATCAAGTCAATCAAATAAAAAACACTTCAATTTAAACTGCCACATTACATTGGAAGATGCAGGAGACTCAAAAATTGTAAACTCAATCATCATTTATATTTCTTATATTTTTGAAATTATCTATATATATTTACCTTCCTGTGTAAAATCTGCACATCTAGGAACTAATTTTTATGTTATCAAAGTTCCACTGTAATGCAAAATACATAGACCCTTATGTTTGTACAACAGGAAGTAGAAATGTATTGACCTCAACTAATGTTATAGTTTCATACTTTTTTTTTGGTTGAATTTCCCACACCAACAGTCTGCTAGGATATGATGAACCGTTGTTTTCTAGCTCGGAGTCTAATTGCCCCCCATTGAAAAGCTAATGACTTTCTCTGCAAAAAGCGGGACTTGTTTTCCTCTGCCTCTGCCTGAGGCAGTGGGGGAAGGTAAATTTCACTGTGTAACCTTGGCCGAGGCAGCAGCCAGAGGGAAAGGGGCGGGGGGTGGAGTGGGGTGTAAGGCGAAAGGGGCAGGGGGTGGAGTGGGGTGTAAGGGGAAAGGGGCTGGCAGTTTTTGGCTGGGAGGTGCTTGCGTTTTGCCGGGCTTTTTACCTTTGTTGGAGGGGGAGTCACGTGGTGTGGGCTGGAGTGGTTCGGTCTGGATTTTGAATCACTTGCCTAGCTCAGGAGGGTGTAGGGGCATCTGCCTGCACCTTTTCTTCCCCCTCCTCCCTTCCCGTGTCGGCAGCAGTTTGCATCCATCGTCAGAAAGGGTCCCAGCTGGAGCCAACCCTCGACAGGTGAGTCCACGGAAGCCCTTGAGGGGAAAGGCCACCCTCTCCCTTCCTCCTTTCCCCTGCCGGCAGCAGCTTGCACCCATCGACAAGGGGGTCCCAGCCAGAGCCAGCCTTCGACAGCGTGCGTCCACAGGAGCCCTCTCCACCATCCTTCCCCCTTCTCCCTTCCCGTGCCGGCAGCGGCCCGCGCCCTCCAGGAGGTCGACTCAGCTGCCTCCCGGGCGCCGACGCCGGTGCTCGTGGGAGCGGCAGCCACCAGAGCCCGACAGCGCCCCCTGCCGGCCGTCAGTGAGTAACTGCAGCCTTCGCTTTTCCCGAGGCACAACAGCTCCCCTTGCTGGTTGAAAGGGAGTCACTGCAGTTCCAGAGCCCAACAGCGCCACCTGGTGAGCGTGAGTGAGGCACTGCAGCCCGTGCCTTCCAAGGTACGCCAGTGCCCCCTGCTGGGTGTGGTTATAACTGCGTCAAAAGGCATAAATACTTCATTGTTTTCAGTGAAAGTTTCAGTTATGGTATTGTTGCTTGTTCTGTTTTGTTACATATATATATTTGGTAAAGAGTTGTTATTTCCTTTTCCACACTTTTTCATCTGCAGTCTCTTAATTTCAAAGTTATAATAACTTAGAGGAAGGAGTTTAGTTTTTTCCTATTCTGCCATCCTTGGCAGACATTTTTGTCTTGTTAAAGTAAGACAACTAATTTTCAAAAAGCCAAAGGAAGTATAAAGTCTCACCTGCAAGTGCATATATTCCTTTAGAACAATCTTGTTTTTTTCCTGAAAAGTCACCACCCATAGTCTAAATTAAAAAAAAAAAAAAAAAAAAGACCAAAAATACACTATAAAGATCATAGAACTGTAACTTACATATTTTTTACTTATTAGAATGAGAAGTGTATCATACATAAAAAGAAGTGTATTGCTGATATGTAGAAGAAATACTTACATGGGTTTTTCCACTGCCTGTTTGTCCATATGCAAAACAAGTGGCCATTCCCCTTTCAAATATGGTCTCTACTAATGGTCGAGCTGTAAACCTTAAATGCAAAAAACAACAGTACTTAAGATATGTAATTACTTAAAAATCCCACACTACCACAAGGGCACTATAAATTTTAATTCCAGAAGTGACAAAACTGGTTCTGTACTTTGAGAGGGCAAAGGACATCTCCACATTAATTCCTGAACTAAAGAAACTACCAGCTCTAAGGCATTCAAATATCCCAGACAATTAAAGAAAAGCTACAAGGTGTTTCCCATTTATTTTACAAAAATATTATCTTCCTTCAAACCCTCAGAAAAAAAAATTTCTTGTTTTAGTGATGCAACACAGCACAGCTGAGTTTGGAGCTCCCTAAAGAAGGCACCATTATAAGATACAGAAGTAGGACAGTGTAGCCGATAAATACTTAGATTTTGCCAATACAAAAATTCCACTATAGTTTTTTTTTCCTAAAATCATCTTCCAAAATTAGGTGTAGAAGACAGATGGCCAAAAAAGCATTGCACATATTTAAATATTTTGAGAACATAGTTATGCTGAGAAAAGGTTCAATAAAACTTTTATCCAAGCTCATCAGAATGGAAAAATCCAGTTATACCTTAATTATTATTTGATGTGTCAAAAATATTTTCCAAAGTATAATTTTTCTATTTTAGGGAATTTTTAATTAAATAAATATAGCTATTACTCCTACTTCAGCTTCTTTTCACCATTACTTCATTAAAACCTCCAAAAGAAAAGGGTAACTTTATGGAGGGTTACCTCCACCAGGTGATGGAGCTAAGAGTCTCTCTTTCTAAACTTTTTCCAGGTGTTTACAAATAAAGTATGATTAGTGACAGAAACAAGAATGAATGTTTACAGAAACAGAGGTGTTAAAACATCCTTTCATTCCACTTTGGAACAAATACAACATTACTTATGAAAATAATATGGGACATTCAGCAACCAAAGGTTATGCAAAAATCTAAGTTTAACTGAATCATCAGTTTTCATCAAAAATGTACCAGATGATTCCTGATCAGCCTTAGACTTGTTTACATCCTCCAATTTATATACCTCTTTTGTCCTCAAGAGGATATCCCCAATCAATTTCAGGAAACCTATCCACCTAAGAAGCACATTCCATTATCTCTGTTTAACTCAGTTTGGCATTATTTATTTTGATGATTTATAAAAAATTGACTTTATTATATGTATTTTAAAATAAGGCAAAATGCAAACATATCTAGAAAAGTTATTGTAAAACATTATACAACTCCAAATGGTACCATGCCAAAACAGTCCAATTTTCCTTCTAGTAGAACCTTTATTTGCAATCTTGATCATTCAGAAATATAAACTCTGATTCTCCTTTAAAATTCAAAAGGCATTTCAGTTTTTTAATACTAAAGAAAACTTGCAACTCAATGTTGTGGCTCAAGGATTCAAAAATACTTAAAATACAGCTTAAGTAAAATAATAATAAAAAATAAGAGTAGTACATTTCTTGAGAACATTTTTCAGTATAGAAATACAATGAGCAATTTTAGCATACTGAAGAAAACTGAAGTAACTTGTCATACTTTTTCCCCCCCTGCTGTGACCCTGATAGTTCTGGTTAGATCAGGCAATGATACCTATTTTCCTCTTAACTGTGCTATTACAGGAGGCCTTGAAGCAGATTATCCTTCATGTCATAATCATTATTCTGCCATATGAGGGAGAAGAAAAAAGCCTGTACTGCTACACAGACTAGAGATTTATTGTTTCAGTATGAATACAAGTATCTTTCAATATTTTCCCATATTACTATTAATTTATTATGCAACTAATAAAAATTTTGCAGAAGAAACTCAATACAAAACCATAATAACATTGTATGTTAAAAACAGCCCTCACATTTAAACACTATGCTCACAAAGACAAATAACATGAAGAAGAGAGATTACAAGAACTGGTTGTTAAGCAGGAGGAAAACTATTGCAAGAGGCTGTAAGGAAAAGGCTAAACAGAAAAGCAAAACTCCTCAAGACAAAGGAAGGACATGGGGTGGAGACCCCTTTGAACCCTTCCAAGAAATTTCTCAAACACTCTCTCTCACCTCCAGTGTTGTTTCACTGCATCTCTAGCCAAGTATTTTTGGAATCTGAGTCACTTTCCTCCCCCTCTTGTGTTGGAAAGTCCTAAGGGATACTGACTCTCTACCCAGTAAGTGAGCAGGAAGAGCCAGGAAGTGACCTCTCAGCTATAAGTCAGAAGAGGTTTGAGCAGTGCCAAGACAACAGCTGCCTGGGAAAGACCAGAGCTCAACTGCTACCCTATTTGAAGATGTTATCTCCCTGTGACAGAGACACATCTCACCAGCTAGATCACTCTCCCATAACTCTTTACTATCAAGAAAGAAAAGATACTACCAGTAGACAATCATTAGAGACAGAAATTTCCAAGGGCACAGCTTTGCTGTTTAGACAGTTTTTCATTAGTGTAAATTGACAACCTTATCCACCAACAGGATGTTAGCATCTAAATCAGTCAGGATATGATGCCAACTTTCACTTCCTAATTGTTGGATTAAAAACAAGAATTGAGATAATTCTTTGTCCCTACTCCTTAAGGCTATAGGAAGCACTTTCTAAGCATAAAGGAAATTATCTTAATCAAGTTCCTTTCTAATATCAATATTCCTTGCAAAAATATTCACAATATTTAGACTGTGTACTAAGATTACGACCTGTCATGGTGCATAACCTTGCCTGCTACTGTATCTAATTCATTTAGCAACTTATACAAGGTAAACAACTACTTCTAAACAAGTTTTTTAAAACACTGTGTGCATTATTCTGTTCCAACTGTGGAAGTGAAACAGAAGAATAAAGGAGAAAATACAGATCCAAATACCTTGGGGTCTCTCTCTCTGTACTCTTTCCCCACCCTCCCCTGATTTGTTTGCCTCCTGAGGAGGCAATACACACTAGAGCCTGGAAAAGTCTCGGTGGAGAACTGAGAGCAGGATTCAGGATAAACAGAGCTAAACCAAAAGTGAACAGGCAAAAGAATGGAGTTAGCAATATGCATATCTGATAACACAGAGAATAGAAGTCCATGACCAAGGTAAGTCCACAGCTATTGATATTAGAGATATATGAGAAAAAAGATTCACCAAAGAAACCTCATACACATACCTGTAAACCATTTCATTAGGAGCCGTGTCATCAAAGGCATAATCAAAACGAAAAGTTTGGTTTTCTAGGTACCTTGTTAAATCCACTTTTTGTTTTGGTTCATGTACCATCACAACATCTTTACTAGGAATCGTTATTACATCAAGGTCTTTCATTGAAGTTTCTATAAAATAAATGAAAAACATATATTTAAGTAGCAACACATTACTATTTTTTACATATTTTCATTGTTTACACTCTTATAATGTCTCAGATAACCCACAAGTAACAACACTGCAATGGACTTGGGCTTCTGATACCTAGATAGTAATCTGCTAAGCAAGAGATTTCATTTTTGAAGTCTAGTCATCCTATCTTACCAAGTGCTAGAAAGTAAAGAAAGGTTGTACAAAGTCGATTAGAAAAGCTAAGATCATTAATGATAGCACCATCATTATAACTTCATTTTAAAGTTATCTTTTAATTTTTTGTAAATCCTTAAAGTTATAGCCATATGTTCAAAGCTTTCAAAAAGAAAAAACTGTTTTCATTCTACATAGACATTTTCATTTGTGTATTCCTCATGGAATCTCAAATATACATATTTAATATAGAATATCTCTACAGGAAAATCTTTTCTTAAAATTATTTGTAAGGAGAAAAATGGGTACCAGGCAGACATTAGACCTGGGAAAGCAGGTGCAGTTGTTCAGCAAGAGACCTCAGAGATAAGGATGGAATCCAGCAAACTGCCTTGGACACTCAGTGAGAGCAAGAGGAAGCTGCTAAACTTCTGCAGAGGAACATCATGCGGCAGACATCTGCAGCTCAAGTTAAAACTGAGAAAAAAGGACTTTTAACTCCTGCCTTACTTATAGAAAAATATAACCTTATATGTAGCAGTGCCAGAGTGCCATATGATAGTGTAATAGAGTTTAGATGGAGTAAATTTTAAAAATTGTATAACTGTGTGCCAATTAGTTCCCTGCATGATCCCTGCCCCTGTCGCCTGTGAAATCTTAGTGCTAGGTGTAATAAATATGTTTAATGTAAACATTGCATTCCAGAATTGGCTCTTCAGCCATTTCTGGTGCTGCTCTCCACTTCCCCTCACCCTGTTGCACATGAGACAAAGTGGACGAAGAATAAAACTCATTTTGCTACTGCAGTTGAGCTCTCTTTATTTCACCACCAAGCCTGCAGACAACTAGGGACTGAAAAAGTCCTAGTTAGAGAGCGGATTTAGGGAAGTGGACGTCAGCAAAAAAGCTGAACGTGCTAATGATGCTTCCTATCACTAGGAAGGAACAAAAGCCATCTAGATGTGATTTCAATAGTGAGTCCCCAGGTTACACAGCACTACAATTTATTGCTAGTTGTTGTATGAGATATGACTCAGCAAAACAGAGAACCCAGTGATCCATGATATGCACAAAAATAAAGATTCTTTCTGTGTACAGTCAGGATCACTAATGTGTCCTACTTCCTGCAAAGTCAATCCACAGAATGATTGGTGCTGAGAACACCTAAAGACTTTGGTGATAATTCTGTGTTTATGAGACTGACAGGAATTGATTTGTACACTTGATTTCTATTAAATTAATTGAACATTTTACAGTATTTCAAAATACAGAACATGAAAGAGGAAAGATGATATTATTGGCTTGTTGTTATTGCAATAAAGGAAAAACTATATTTTTTCTCTTCAAGGTATTACAGGCTAATATCTTTGATTTCTTTATACTTTATATAATTTTACATAATTTTAAAATGTGACAAGAGAAATATTATTTCAAAATTAAAGTGAATGTTCTCAGAATACTGCATTATGTGGGTACGAGATTATCTCTATGTTTCCTTGCCAGCATACATTATTTCATTAATACCTTTTATTACAGTCTAAGTCATATTTTATTAAAGATAACCTCCAATGCTAAAACAGAAATTGAACTGTTACCAGACTTGTATATTGAATGCCCTTATTACATAGGTTGTGAAAAACAGTTTCAATCAATTTTTGAGATTATACATTCCTTTCAGAACAATAAAAGAAAAAATATATGGAATAAGAAAACTGCAAAAGTAAAAATAAACAAAAATCTGGAGGGGAAAAAGTAAGACAAAAGAAAACTAACTATATACTGACATCAACATATGTTTTCCCTTTCCTATACAATTCTCCCATGTTCCTCTGGATATCCTCCAGATAATACTCAATGTGTAGTTGACAGTACAAAAATAAAAAATTCATCCCATGTTGTTTCAAAGTTCTTTGAGTGCTTAAGCTAAAAAAAAAAAAAAAACAAAGAGAAGGAAAGAAATATCTTTCAAAATGAAAATCAGCTTACTTTAGTTCTGGATTCAGATAGGATGAAATCCAGAAGCATTTGCAGTTCCTAATTTCCCATGAAAGTAAAGAACTTCATAGAAAGATTGGGATTTAGCTGGAGTTGAAAATCTAAATGGTTTTTTTGGGGGAGGGATACACACTCCAGTCTGATCAGCAGGTAGTAAGAAAAAAAGTTGTAATGCTAATCATACTAGAAAAGAAGTCACTAGGGAGTGATTCCAGTACCTAAAAATTAGGTTTAGTGCCATTCCATATACCCTAAGGTATCCTGCCCAGCCCTGAGCAACAACTCCAGGAGACACAAGTCTCCAGTTTGTCTATAACCTGCTAATACTGCAAGGATGTCTTAGACACCCTTGAGCACCTTAAATATCATAAGACACCAACATTCAAGCACCTGAATTGTACCCTTGATGTTTGATTCAAGACTTGAAAGTAAAAATATACAGGTATAAAAAAAGTGTAGAAAAATTTTCATTGAGTAGCTCACTGATCAGGTGATCACTTTAAGAATAGTTTAAAAGAATGGTGATCCTAACACAATGTAATAATACTGAAGAAATTACAGTAGAATTAATTCCCAGATCAACTAAATACATCCTAGATAACCTTGGGGAAAAAAATTACACTTCATAAAATGGTGACAGTTAAACTACTTTTCTCCCCATCTTTATTCAGGTTATGATAAGTTTATGAATTTTCTGGGTGCCTCACACATATTGTCTGGTATAACAGTGTTTCATCTTTGATCAGTATTTCTAGATCTCTTTAATACAAATAATGATGGCCAGTCTCTTCGCGAACGAAGAACCGGGGAAGGTCTTTCCACCTTCCAGCCTGCGCATTGGATTTTTTTTTTAGGTGAGACACAGTGTGCGCGGAACTGAGCCCACCCTTTAATCCTGAGGTTCATCTGCCGGGGCCAAGCACGCTTGGACGGTGGCAGCGAGGTCCTCAGGACGTAGATGGATT